CATACCTGGAACCTAATTAAGATTACACAATGTGGTTTATTCAATTGCATGAGACTTTCAAACCTGGTGAGTGAGAAGAATATTTCTGTATTATAAGAACCCAGCCAGAGAGAAGGAGAAACTAGCACAATAGATTAGAAAAGATCTCAAAATTCATTTCTCTCCATTAATAACCCTCTAACACACTTCATATAATTTTAACTTGGGAAAAAAAAGTAAGGACATCAACTCATGACAATACAAGTCCCAAATTAGAAAACTGCAAAACAAAACACTTCTGTGCAAGTAAACATTTGCACTCCACACATTAAGTTTTTCCGAAAGAAGAGTACAAGCTAGTCTTACCTTATTGCTGCAATAGGATGGAATAAAAATGACAGACTTATAGAAGCAACTTTCACATGTATCTGGACTTCAAACACAACACACGATATAAAATCCAAAATAACCAGAAAAGAAAAAGTTTTCAGTCTGACCTTCAAAACACTGAGCAAATCACTAGGTGAGACCAGATCAAAAGGAAGGGCATTCCACCAGCTTGTCGCCAGATGTGAGGGGGTCCCAGGTTGCACAGGGCACAGATGGTATAAAATGGGGTGGGGAGAGAGGTCTGAGCAGATCCAAACCATCAGGCAAATAAACCTGGTTCAACTTACACAGGTAAGTCTGCTCTAAAGAATGAAGAACTTTCAAGGCAACTGATAAGACTTTTAAGTTCAAGACAAATGGTCCTAGATATATCTCAAGCTCAAAGTGTGCTTATTAGTTGCAACTTGAAGTGTGTGTGTGTGTGTGTGTGTGTGTGTGTGTGTGTGTAATAATTCAAATAAAACTAAAGACTCCCCCAGGATCCATGCAAAGTTATGATAACTTGCTGTGAATGAATACTTTTTAAAAAACACAACCATGGTTTGAAAGCTATGGTACTTCATTAAAATCTGAGAAATTTGGGGAAAATTGAATGCATGGCTCACCAAATTAACAGCTCCCCTAGAAAACAGAAAGGCTATAACTTCCTTAAAATATTCAGAGTTCTTCAGCATTATTCAACTATAAAAAGTGCTAAAAACTAAAAATTTCACCTGCTTAAGCTCTTATTAAAATCGCTTCTTTGTATTCAAAGACAATACATAACTCTTTTTTCTATAGAAAACTAAAAAAAAAAGATTTGCTTTATGCTTCTCCCTATGTAATACAAAGTTGCCAATTTAGCAAATGCCCCCCCCAAAGCCACTTGTTCCAGAATAAAAGTTCAAGAAAAATTCTGACTTCAATATAAGATGTTGAAACTGGATTTCATTCATTGCGTTTCATTTAATGAGTTGATCTTTTTTTTTCCAGGCAGCAAGCAAACATTTAAACATTGAACATGGATTCTCAACCTCACAATTTCTGGGAGACACAGAGTATAGAATATCCAAAGGCTACTTTATTGGATATTCTAACAAAGCACACTCAACACACATATACAATGGGACAGTGCATTTTTTAAGAGGCAATGACAAACAAAAACATTGACTTCACAATGACTTCTTTCTGCTGGTTACCATTCTCATGGTTTGGGGAAAACTAATTTTTTTTTGGACACTCCTATACATTAATGAATCCCTCCAGTTTAGTAACAGCTTTGCTAAGCTACATTTAGAAAGTGACAATTAATTTTAGTGGAAACTCATTCCCAGGCTACTCTGATCGTCATCTGAACAGTTTTGCGTTCTTTTACATGCAATTTTATAGCTCTATAACATTCATTTAATCGTGTTCAATGATGCTGAACCCCAGATGCCCTAAGACATTATAGAAAAGTAGTTATTGCATATGGAGCAGCTACTTTTTCTGACCATTAATTTCGTTTCTCTTAACAGGCTGAAATGGTATTTATAAAGAGAGAAAAGCTACTGCTTGGTATGAAAGGTTTTGTATTATGGACTTCCAGGGATGGGCTATTTAAGACTGCTGTGGTCCTACTCATAAAGTTTTTATTTATGAGCATCCTCCACTCAATTTTTAGTAATAAGGATTTTCTCCAGCTCTCAAAAGATTGTTGGTGTTACATATTAAAATCTGGGTATCTGAAGGAGCTAAGAGGTGGAGGGCTTCCCTCATGTGCCCAATACAGAAGCTGCATAAAATCCGAAGTTCTCAAAGTGAGGCCTGAGGGCCATGGGTTGTCATTGGGGCATTAGCTTCAAATACAGAAGTCTGGACTCAGAGTTACAGGGAGGGGCAGAGAGAAATCTGTGCCATAAATAAGCACTCTGGCAATGCCTGGGCATGCTAAGGGGTAGATGATCTCAAAGGTCTCTTCTACTCACAGATTCTAAGTCTCTGAGTTTTCTTTCAAAAACATAAGTCCCATCAGCACCATGAAAGATGGGCTCCAAGGGGATAACTTACAACTTTTCTTAAATTGTTGATGTATATGTACAAAAAGAAGAGAAGTAATCCCAGAAAAGTACAATCAAATGGATGAATCTACCGGGGCTTTTTGCCTCTTAAGAGTGGTCAAAGAGAACCTAGTAACTGCTACACAGGACTTGTCTCTTGACTCCATTCCTGTGTTTCCTTGTTACCCTCTGACTCTTCGAGGCTCTGAGACAGCTGTCTAGGTTTTCCACAGTCCTAAGCCACCAAACTCTAGAATACTTTTGATTGACTTCAACATGCGATGCAATTTTTAAAAAATGAAACAGGCAGTCCCCTATTTGCATTTTTAATGAGCGAAATTCTAACAAACATACCACAGCTAAAGGGTCCATTTACGTTTTTAAAGGGGAGTTCTCTTCCAGAAAGCAAAACAGCCCAAACCACATCCGAATATTTTTGTCTTGCTCACACTACTACCTATTCCTTATCTTCTTTGTACATGTTAAGTTTACTCTTTTCCCATCATGACTGCTTTACATAGCCAATGCCTAGGATTTGAAGGGTTCCCCCCCACACACACCCCCTTTTCTTTTTTACAACATGTCTGGAGAGTTCTCTCTGACACATTATTTTATTAGGTGTATGAGAACTAAATGTCACCACCAAGTACGATTTTTACACTCTAATCAAATAATGCGGCAGGATCTTAAAATAACCCCACAACATGGCTAGATCCACTCTGCTGCTGCTGGTCTGGAACCGTGGGCTGGCAGGCAGCGCCACCGTGTGAGCATTACAGGTGCAGGGTTTGTGTCAATGGCGGGATTCCCCAGAGGCCCCTCCCACCACGGGGGAGGAGGGATGGGGGGGAGAAGGGGGGGAAAGAGGGAGCCTACTTCCAGATTCCAAACCTAAAGCCTATCAGTCACCCATCGCAAGTGAACAAGAGAAAATGAGCAGTTATTTAAAAGAGCATCTGACGGTGCGACTATATCCCCAGTCAGGGTGAGTCCGATGTGAGTGCTGACCAGGGGGTGACAGGTTTGGGGGGCTGGGTTGATAGATACCGGGGTCTTCTCTATGAGAAAACTTGCACCAGGATGCAGCTTGCAGACTGTAAGGCCTAGCCCTAGTCACTACCCCTGTGTACTTCCTAAGGGGACAAATTCAGTCCAGGCTCAGCTGGTAAGCTGGTGGGTAGCATGTCTCCTGGATCTATCCCCTTCTATCTAAAGTTCTTATTGATTGTAAAATCTGTGACTGTGTATAGTGGAGCTACTAACTGAACTCAAGGAGAGGGGTGGGTAGAGAGACATTAACCTTAGTTTTACTAGAGTTGTGTTTTCGTTTGCACATTGTTTCATCATCCTGTGAATTAAATAGCAACATTACAGCCAAGGAACCTGTTAGCTGTCAACTGCCATTATCTTTCCAGTGAAAGAGGAAATCTTAACAAGGAGGCTAACACTTCAGAAAGTGCTTATGCAAAGTCAGTGGACAGACTGCACCAATGAGTCTTTAGTTATTTAACTCTCCCCCATAACTCTCCCAATGTAAGGAAGTGCTTGTGATAGGTCACTCGGGAATAATGGAGGTGGAGGGATGGAATAAGAATATATACTGGTTTCAATCAAATTTCCTGGCTCTGCCTCACAGACTGCTGAATTACCAGACAAGAAAGCAAGCCCCTGGCTTCTATGTTGTTAGCTCTCTGCGGAAAACAGAGGCTGCACCAGCAGGGCCTGGCTGAAAGGTCTCATTCTACCCAACTTCCCACTTGGCCAGGCATGGGTCGTGATGGCTGAACTACCCTACCCCCAAAATCACGTGTCCCCCAAAGTATTTCCTTCTATCTCCAAAAAGTATTAGCTTCTTTAATCTAAGGAGGTAATGAGAGGTTTTTAAACTGATTAAATCAGCTTAGTTCAGACAAAGTCTGTTATGACTAAATATTCAATTATAACAATTTCCAAAGCAAAATCTGACAAAAATCCACTCTTGAGAGTAATTTAGGTGATAGGTTCTTAACATTAGGCAAATTAAATCCTCCTCATGTTTGGTATTTTCCAAAAGGTCAGAATAGCTGTAGAAGTTCATTGGGACAAAAAAAAATCTCCCATGTGTGATCATGCTCCAGGATCATCAACAATAGAACTCGAAAGCATGAACACCAACCTAGCATTCCTAGTTATTGTTTTATTTTTTACTTCAAAAGCTACACACAGGAAAAAATTGAACATGTCACCAAAAATGTTTTAAATAAAGTTCTAAAATAAGGCTTGCTCCAAACTCAGTGACTGATAGAAATATAGGTGTCACTTACAATGAAGTCAATTATATTGTTTCTACCCTATCAGAAAAATACTTATATAATAAAAAGCAATTTCGGGTCCAGAATAAATTTTTAATCCTTGAGGAATAATTTTAAAATGACATTTAAAGAAATGCACATTGCTTAGAAAAGCAGGTCCCAATACCCAAATGTGCAATTGCTGGAGAAACTCAACTTAGGGGGTGAAAAAAGAATTTTTAAAAAACTCTGATGATGATGACTATTATTATGGCTGATGTGGTTAGTAATGTGAGTGGAGGGAACAACGTTGATAAATAGATCATCACCGCAAGTCAGTTGAAACATTTGAATGGGAAACTTTATTGACAAAATACATGTGAGAGGGAGGCTGAGAGAAGTTCTGCCTCTCTCTGCTGCTCAACATTTCCAAGAGGTATTAAAAATCCCGAGTTCCAGGGAGTTCTAATGCACCACCCTTTGGAGAAATGCATAAGTGCAAACTATTTCCCACAGCTCCCACAAGAAGCCATCAGGAGTGAGCCTGTTGAGGGCTTTCAAAAGGCCCCACTCCTTCTCAGGTAAAAGCACCAAGAAGCTGGGCACAAAGTTAAGACAGGGAAATCGGCATGTTCCAAATGGGTCTCAGGGCTCCAAGAGTTCCTTCTACTGAAGCCAGTATTTCTTTGGTAGTCCAATGCAGTACATAACAACAAGTCTCATCATTAATATGAACAGGATGCACGCAAAGTTCAACTTTATGAGTGTTTTCATGCAGCCTGGATGTGAGACTTAAGTTTCCTGCTCCTGCTTGAAAAGGGAGGGAAGGCACCTAAGGCTAGAGGGCTGTGGAGTATCAGAAATGATACCTAAGAGGAGGGGAAGGGGAGATGGCTTTACAAAACGTATTAGAATTCATCTGGAAAGTCCCAAGTGAATAAATACCCTTATACTTTAGAAGAAGTGGAAATCAAACATGTAAAAAAAAATATCACTTCCACTTTAAGTCAGAAAAATCACATTCACCACTGGATAAAATTGCCTGCAACTACTTCTCTTTCATTGAAAAGACCGGATTGAGATTCTGGTTAGAAATATTTGCACAAAGAATCCAAAAACCTAAAGTGTAATTCTGATCCTGATGCAGGCAAACCAATTTTTTTCCTTTACCTCTGAAGTTTTAAGAAGGCAAAACAAAAGATGTGTGTGCTGTCTTGCAACATCAGGTTTGAATATGATTTTTTTCTCTTTTCTCTGGGACAGAAAAAGAAAAACAAAAAACAACAACAGCAACAACAACAACAATGCCCAGCTCATAGCACGCAGGAATGTGTCACAACAAATAATCAAAAGACAGGTTTCACCAAGCTAGTATTCCTTCCCCTACAGTGTGGTTTCAAAGCAGCATTGTCATGATGATGTATACTCTCATTAACTAGGTACAGCAGAGTTACTCAAAGGGAAACTGAGTTCCTGTGCCTCAATGAAAGGCGACTGTTGAAAATAATGAGCCTGAATGAAGAAATTTTCAAGGCAAAAAATTAAAAAAGAATACTTGGGAGTGAAAAAACAAGGAAAAGCCAAAAAAGAAAAATCAAAAAAAAATAAAACAAAGCAAGTGATATGAAGGCAGAAACCCACAGCATCTCCCCCACCCCACCTGCCACTGCGAGTCCTCTAATTGCCCAGTCTGCAAGCACAGAAACCCACTCTAAATTGACCAGCATCGGGCTTCGGCAAGTCTTCTCTTCCTTCACTCTCCCTCCTGTTAAGACCGTTTCCAAAACCAATCAGCAAAGGACAAAGAATTCTTTACAGAGTGCAATTAGTGGTTTCCACGTCCACCTTCAAAAGCATGATGCTCTTCATGGGCTAAAGGACAGAAAAAAACAAAAAAGAAAAAAAGGAAAGAAAACTTTAAGCAAAGGATGGGCCAACCCTCCTCTAAGGCATCTCATTCAGCTTCCCCAATAGTTGGCAAGAATTCAAATACCTTTTTTTTGTGTGTGTGCCAGTAACTATTAGCTAAGGCGTGCATTTCCTGAGAAACGTAATAATGAAAATTAAAACAAGGGATAAACAAGCAACGGGCTTGCTGCCTGTTCCTTCTTGTGGTGCCTAAGGGGGTGACTCATCCCGCGTTGATGAGGAGAATGTGCTGGGCAAACACCACAGGGAAAATGGGCCCCACAAAATGTACCAGGAAGGGAACCTAACTCACCCAGACAGGGCCATTCACAAGCCTATCTTCAAGAACAAAATAACACCAAACCAAAAAAAAAAAAAATCACACAAGGGTGACAGGAATCGTATGCCCTCCCCCACCTCTCCACACCTTTCGTGTAAAATGGAAGTTTCATCAGATGGATGAGGCTGTTTATTTTCCCAACCATGACCCACCCCCACCCCCAAACCCTACTCGATTTTCAGCCCTATACTTGTTTGGTGTGCAGAATTATTAGTTATAATTAGGAACTTTAGAATAAAACTAAAACAACATGCTAGCAAAAACATTTTCAAAGTGGAAGACAGGAAATGGGAGATCTGCAAAATACATAACATTTCCTTACCAAGAGGCAAAAGATGGGCTGGGAATGCTTAGTGGTAGAGTGCTTGCCTAGCATGCATGAAGCCTTGGGTTTGATTCCTCAGTACCACACAAACAGAAAAAGCAGGAAGTGGCACTGTGGCTTAGAGTGCTAGTTTTACACCAGAGAAGCTCAGGGACAGTGCCCAGGCCCTGAGTTCAAGCCCCAGACTGGCCAAAAAAATTTTAAAAAAGGAGGCAAAAAGCCAAGTTTGAAAATTCACTTCCAGTATTTGGGGGGCCATCATGATAAAGGGAGAGGTCTGAACACATACTTAGGGTCCTGTATACTTGGCCCTCACCGCCTTCTCTCCATGCTTGGCACCTGAGGACACAGCTTGGTGGGTCTGCAGCCCCTCTCAATTCCTGTTTTCAACAGGGACTGATTGCTTGACTAGAACTAGAACATGAAGGGGAGGGAGGATGTGAGGAATATCGGTCCTTTCAGATTGTCTTTAATGTGGACTGCAACCTGCTTTTCAAGTGGGTCAAACATTGGGAAAATGTGCTGCCTTGTAGCCCCAAGGGTGACCTCAGGTCAAAATCCTAAGGATGGCTGGAAATTGGACCTCACTGAACATTTTCTCAGGGCTATAGCTTTTAAAAATATTTCACTTTTTGTTTCCTTTGTAAGGAAGATGTTTTAGGGCAGACAGCAAAGAAAACATGGCTTGATCTGCTATGAAATATCTTATGTTTCAGGGTCAAATCCAAGAGCCACAGAAGGATAGAGGACTATGCAAAGATTTTTTTTTAAGATTTCCAGGTAAAGAGGGAGAGGCTACAAGGCACAGTTGAGACACTCCCAGGTCCTTGGGTAAAGGGAACAGCAGAAGAAAGCAGCAACAGCTCAGGTATGCCTTCTGCCCACCTCAGAACAGCCCTGGTAGGTAGGAAGGTAATATAGAAATGCTCTGCAAGCCAGGAGTCGGCAAACTTTTCTGAAAGCACTTTTTGTTGTTTTATTTTGTTTTTGGAGATAGGGTCTCGCTATGTTAAGATCAGCCTGGCTTTCAACTCAAGACAATAATACCTCCTCCACCTGACTGCTAGGATTTCAGGCAGGTGTGCCACCAAGCCCTGCTGGAAATAATGCTTGCTATGGCACCAAACCGGCAAGAGAAAATGTAGACGCACATGCACATCTCTATGTGCCAATCAAAATAATCAGGGATGCTGAAATTCGTTAGGTATTTTTCACTGGTTACAAAAAACGATCCTTATTTTGATTCCCCCCTCCCAAGCTATAAAAAAATGTAAAAATATTTCTCCGCTGCACCCATACAAAAACAAATGAGGTGAAGAGGGGAGAGAAGAGACAGGGACAGGCTTGGTTTCAGGTAACCAGTCTGCCCTGCGCTGACCTGTCTTTCACCACTGAAGATCTTAAGAGTGGGTGTGGGATGGTCTATGAACACTGTAACTTTCTCACTCAAATGATCAGCAACTTCACATTGCACTTAGCACTGCCCAGAGCCTTATATACCCACTGGAGGCCAGGACTGAATAGGCAAGAGTTCCTACCGCAAAGAAAGTCTGCCATCACCTCACTTCCATAAACTTGTGAGCTGTCCTTACTGGGCTCCATTCACAAGACAGAACAGAAAGAGGAATGGCCACTCCCAGACTCACCCACCCAGGGGACCCTGCATCTCACCCAGTCAGCTTTTTGCTCGTTTCCCAAATGATTTCAGTAGTACATGGAATGTAATCCCACTCAGTAAAGGACTGCCTGCTTCATATAAAATAGAGATTGGCTTGGGTTTTTTTTTTCCAATTCTAATTTTTATTTCAATGGTCTTTGAGTTTTTAAATGTTTGTGCACCATTAAATTATGGATTTCTGCTGAGGACTACTACTGGTTCTAAACCACTCACAAACTGACAAAAACAAGCTACCTTTAGGACATCTTTTCAGCTTGATTCAGCTAGCCAAGGAGTAATCTTTCTTTCTTTTAGTTATGTCCTTTTTCTTTTCCCACAATTATCCTAAGAGGTGTAAGTCATTTGGCCTTTGGTCCTTCTTACCTGATTATGGCTACAGTCCAGGAAAACTAGCCCATCACCCTGTGGCCTACTTATCTAAGAAAACACATCTTGCTAAGCTGTCGCTAACCAATGTGCTACCTGGAAATCTGTTCATAGAATGCTGCAGTAAAAGGGAACCTTGGAGATCATGTCAGACCAACTGCCTGGACAATCAGATGAGGAAGTAAAAACAGTTGAGAGATGGGATTTGTGTGATCAGTTTTGCCTGACAAAACTCTAGAGTGCCTGGCACCATGACTCCAAAGGGCTCTGCCTTTGAATCAAGTGTGGAGCTGACTCAGTCAAGGTAAGCCCTGTCTCACCTGGCAATACATCACACTTCCTTTTGTAGTTTCTGCTCGTTACTTTGGGGACATGGAAACCTGGGGAAAAAATTCTCGGAACACTTTTCAGTTTATAGGTGGGGTGATATATAATTAATGATGAATAAAAATAGTGTCAGCAAATTGGCAATTTCCACACTGCACAGCCCATATACAACTTCTGCAGTGCTGTCTTTTCTTTTTTTTTTAATTTAAACTTACATCTAGAAACCCAAGGACCTGTTTCTCCTTAAGTATATGCAGTGTGAGATCAGTCTCCCTGAGCAAAGCCTGACTCATTTGCTGGTGACTACAAAAGTCTTTGCCAGGAGGCTAAGTTTTCCTATCTGCTGACACACTAGGACATTCAAGAAATGAAATTTGATTTTCCTATCTTTTTTGGCAAGCAGTTGGGAAATGCAAGACAATAATAAAGTGTATTTCATCAATTTTAAGATGCCCTCACCCATACACATATTAGAAGGCCTTTGGAATCCAACAGTACATCATGGTTTCATTGGGAACTTTTTTTTTAATCCTTTATTGGTAATATTAAAATACTAGGGCATTTTATTATCAAGAGCATCTTGGCTTCAATACAAATATACTAATTTATTTTTAAAAAAATGAGAAGTCCAGGAACTGTTTGGGACTTAGGAAACTTAGCATCTGTGTGTAGAGCTGGTCAATAGCTTTAGGAAAAAAGTGTATCCCACAGTTAGACCTACCAGACATTGATTTAACAGCACTAAGATGTTTTCATTATGAAAAGAGATGACTTTTTTCAGAAGAGCACACAAAAGCAATGAACATGAATCATGATGGAAACAATGGGTCCACACACCGATTCACACTGCTCCCATTTTACCACCAGTCATGAATCCGCTCTCGTTCCTGTCACAGTCACCCCGTAATGAGGAAGTATTAGCATTCAGGAGAACATTCAATCATGCCAAGCTCAAAATGAGTTTCCTCCACAAATACAGATGTCGGACATTATAAATTCCTGTTTATGAAGGGATGATTGAATCTCTACCTGCCAGCTCAAAGAGTGACATTTCTGTTATTGTTGTTTCCAATAGAATATAATTGTTTGTCTGAGCATGACCAATTTTAAGTTCAGGCTTAAAGTTTCAAAATAACAAAATACAATGCATCTTTCCTTTTCACATGCACTCGGCTAGGCAGGAATAAAAATCTCACTTTAATTTCTGAGACTAAACTTGACTTAAAAAAAAAAAGAAACCCACTTGTGTTTTATTGAATTATTTTTGGAGTTACAGAGTTTCAAGTGACTCTGCCTTACCCTCATTTGCAACAGTTTTTGTCTTTAAACATATGATAGAATAAGCTAGAGAGTAGTAACTGGAAATGAAGCACTTACGTTTATAAAATACTGCTTTAAAAGATATGTGGGGCAGGAGTTCATAGATCTTTTCTAACACAGTTGCTTCACCCAATAAAGAGGCATTTACATTCCAGACTTGGACGACATCTTCTCGTTCCCGAACGCTAACACTGACTCCTATCACTTCGTCATCTGAGGGGAAGATGGGCAAAACAAAGAAATGAGTGACAATTTCAGGTCAGTCTGATCATTTTTAAATATCCCATCATCCCATCTGTAAGTCAGAGCTAGGAGGGAGAAAAGAAGACGGCACAGAAAACTTGGAATCAACCCCTCCTTTCCCCCAGGGAATGGCTGGAGAAAAGCAAGTCAGTGCACAGAGCCCAAAGAGTCACATCACATTTATCCAGGGATACAGAGTGTTCCAGAAAAACGCCTTTTCCAGATAAGTAATTTTACCCTTTGTAACATGTCACCAAAGCTCGCTCTTTCTTACTCTGTTTGGATGAGGCTCTTTTCTAAAATGGGTTGCATAATTCCCTGCGCTGTGGGAGCCAAGTGAACTCAGATGAACTTTGCCTCCATGCCTTGCCATCTTTGTTAAGAATGTCAAGGATCTCTCTTGACTTCCTGCCAAGGCTTTGGAGACCTTAGGGGCAGTTGGTGCTACTGACCCCAGCACTCACTGACCCATATTGTGTGAGCCCTGTTGCTCAGCAGTGTCTCGTGGTTTGCTTGGCTGTTGCTTTTCTGCGAATTCTTCCTGTCCTCTACTTCCTTCTAGCAATCATCTGGGTAGGATTAAAGCATGGGCTAGAAAACTGGCACCATCTGTTAGCACCATGCATGGAGAAGGAGTACCTTTGTCCACTGAGTAAGACTATGCTGTTACAGCCCTCCAATAGATGGCCATTAAAGCCTGAATAAGTCTGAACACTGACTAATATAGATGTTGTTGTTGTTTTGCAGTGAATTCCAGGCTTGGATCGGCGTAACAGATATGAGAGAACAGATATGCCACATACTCAGCCTACTGGACAGTTGCATGGTTGCCCATAGCCACTCTGCTTATGCTAATTGGCAAGGAAAGGGTAGGCATGCAGACTTCTGCCTCCTGGTTTTACAAGTTTGTGACACATTTAATGAACAAGGCAGCCCTCTGCACTTCCAAACTAAGCATCCATCAGTAATACTTCAAAGAGAAGCATTACCCCTAATGTGCCAGCCTGTGCAAATCTGAATAATTGTGCCCAAAGTTTTTCTGGAGATTTAACCATTTTGTTACTTGAGTATGATTTAAAGAATGTCATGTCTAATTTGTTCAAATAAATCATCTTCAGTGAAATAATTCCTTCCCCCTTCCTCCCTCTTCCTTCTTTCCTTTTTAAATGAATGTGATCTTGGTTACATGTGTATAATTTGACACCAAATGCCTCCATGTATAGAAATGTCCCAAAACAAGCTCAATTAGTCTGTGGTGAAGGAAGGGAAGTTGAGGGAGCTGGCGGGGCTGGTCACATCCTATGTTTTCATCAATCTGTTAGTTATAGGGAGAGGCTTATGTTGTAAATAAGCTCTACAAATGTCATATTAAAACAAAAAGGTCCAACAACAACAACAAAATAATTGATCACAGCCCACTTCAGAAATTTATGAGCCAGTCAGGGGACTGATGGCTCACATCTGTAATCCTAGTTATTCAGGAAGCTGAGATCTAAAGAATGTGTTTGAAGCCAGCCTAGGTAGGAAAGTCCATGAGACTCTTATCTCCAATTATTCAGCAAAAAGCTGAAAGTGGAAGTGTGGCTCAAGTGGTAGAGTACCATCCTTAAATAAAAAAAGACAGTGCCCAGGACTTGAGTTCAAGTCCTAGTACCAGTGCGCGCGCGCGCACACACACACACACACACACACACACACACACATACACACACACTAACCCTATCAAAAAAAGATAAGATGATTTAGGTATTGTTGTTTTTCTTTGTAACTCTGCTTTAAAAATACACTTGCTAAAACTCAATGGTAAACTTTCTGTAACAAAAGAGCATCCTGTACAGAAGGCGCTTTTGCAGTTTTCTGCTCGGGAAAGGCCATGGGTCAGTAACATAGCCTTGTGGGGAACACTGGCATTCTCCAGTCCTTTGCCATCATTACCTCTTCCCGGCCAGAGGGTAAAGTGATAGAGAATGCTATCTCACTTTGGCTTTGGTAAGTAGGCACAGCTAAGAATGCGGCCTGTCCAAACACAGTGTGTGCAGTACAAATGCCAACCTTGTGCAAAGGCAGGTCCATCAGATACATATGACATCTGTCATAGAATCAACCAGCAAAACCTAGTAGCCTACCTCGGCAGAGCTAGAAGGAGCCACTATTTAAAGATGACAGAAGCAAGGCCCAGAAAGATTAGCCAAACTGCTTCAAGTGAGAGAGCTAATTTGTTGAATGTGAATGGTGATTGGTGTTCTCACTTCTAGGAGAGCCACAGAGCAACTGGCCTTCTTTTCTCAATCCTGGGTACTCTTTCTACTTCAGACTATTCTCTCAGGTTCTGGAAAGAGGAATAATTCATAAGAAGACTTCCTCTCCCAGAGTTTTCATGTTATACACATGAGTTACCTGTTAAAAGAGAAAGCACCTACACCTTTAAGATCCTATAATGTTCATCTAATCTTTGCCTTCCATGAATACGAAGTGGAATTACTGACACTTTACAGGCGTGACTTTGAAACTTGCCACAGGACTGGCAAGGCTCCCAGAGACATGCCTGTCTCAAAAGACTGAGGGCCAATTCAAGAGCCATACTAATTCATGAAAGCAGTATCAGAACAGAAAAGGAAACCCCTAACTGGAAGTAGAATAGAAATTTTTTTTAATGTGCCCTTAGAAACATGCAGAAGGAGCTACTCAAGAAGAAAATAAAACTTTAACACACAGGCCACTTCTCCTCTTGGACTGTTTACACAATAGACCAAGAGAAACTGGATGTGGTCTCCACACAGAAGTGCTGCAGACCTGCTGTTGGCCTCAGATCGCAGGGAGCTACCCGAGAGGAGGTCTAGTCACCTGTGAGCTCCTCTCTCAGCAGGGCCAGGAGCTGGACAGGAGGAAGGGGAAGGAATGTAGAGGGACAGAGGGACCTAGACTGCCCACCTCAATGCCTCTAGACATGGCAGGCCACAGGTACAGGAAACCTGCTACAAATTACAATTAAGAGTCTGACTGATGTCATATTTGCCTTTTCTTTCTGCCTATTATATTGGACAGATGGCTGTCGATACCACTAAGTTATGCTGTAAAGGAAACTATATGGAGGCTTCTAATACATATGTTTATAGAAATAAAAGATTCAGTTGTCCTGTGAGACTCTTATTTCTAATTAGCCACCAAAAAGCCAGAAGTGGAACTGTGGCTCAAGTGGTAGAATACTAGCTTTGAGCTCAGCGGCAGCACCCAGGTCCTGAGTTCAAACCCCAAGACTGGAACAATAAATAAAATCAAATGGCATAATATTTATATATGTCCAACTTATACCTTAAATCATATCTAGATTACTTATAATAATTACAAGGACAAGAAAAAATATGTGCATATTTAGATCAAAGATAGTTCTTTTTTTAGTTATTTATCTGTGGTTGGTTGAATCAACAAGTGCAGGACCGGTGGATAAAGACTGATTATATAAATGCAAATATACACAAGTACGCACACACACATATCTGTCACCAAGCACTACAATCACATGAAAAAAAAGGCCTAACTAGCTTTTCAGTTATTAAACAAACACGTTCCAAACCATGCAGAAAGCTGCTATAGGACAACAAACTTCTGCAAAGAACAAGGGGTAGCCAAGGCCCCAGAGATACGGACAGACCATCCTTACCTGCCGCTGTGCAGTCGGTGAACTGCTCCCCGATGGTGGCTAACAACAGCTCTTTCCAAACTGTGGACTGAAGGGGACAAGAGTCAACGTCACAAACAAAACACACATGCTTTTCAGTCATCTTCAGGAGCTAAAGAAGCTCTTGAACTTTACACACAGACACGTTCTATGCCCACAGTGGAAGCCTGCAGACATCTCCAAGCCATAAAACACACTAGTGGCATCTATGGGACCCAGATAGATGCACACAGTCCAGATTCTAATGAGTGCTAATTGCTAGTGACTCCCTGGGTGAGCTTCACCTAGACAAAGGTGGGAGGGAGATGTTCAAATGGCCGAGTTTCCTGGCTCTCTACTTCTCATGGTCATTGATTCAAAATGCTTCAATAGATTATATTTGCGTGCTACTAGTAAAACCCTTCTCTCTACATTTCCTGTGGCTGATGAGGTATGGACAAGGTTGCCCAAGCAAGCTACGGGGATTTCTGGTTTCTTGAATACTAAAGGCTCCCAAGAATGCATTCATGGAAGGGGGGCTGTTGATGCAAAGTGGTAGATTTATGGAGGACTGGTTCACAATCAGAACCACCTCTTGCTAATGAGAAACATCAGAATTCTTTCTGTGGGACCCCGTACTAATGCCATCCACCAGCAGCCAGGGCCTGCGCACTGGTCACTGGAGACCTAACCGTTCTTAGCCCCGTTTCCTCTCCTTCACAGATCACAGGCTCCAAAGTCTCCCAGCACGGCTCTGAAGGCTGAGAATCTGTTTATCCTTTGTCATCTAAGCAGGTTTACCAATCTCTCAGCATCAGTCTCCTGAGGTAGACAAGGGAATAACACTGACCTCAGAGGTTGTTGTTGAGTGTGAAATCAGTCATTGAATGCATCCAGCGGGCTCAGCACAGTGTTTGCAACAAGGAGGTTGAACATTTAAGAGCATCCTCTAAATCGCTGCCTGTGTAGCACACCCAGGAAGTCCGTACACATTCACAGTACCATAATACTGGTGGCTGTGGTCTCAGCAGCTCATAGCAACTGGGCTGACTGATCTTTTATCCAAGGCCCTGGCAGTCAACAGGGGACCTGAAAGATGACCTGTCACCCTCGGGGAGGTTGAAGTTTTCATCTCTCCGAGGCCCTCCCTGCTCATCCTCTAGTGTCTTCCTAGGGACTACTGTTCCCACTTTGTATCTGTCCTCTGTCAGTGATACAGCTGAGATGGAATGGGACAAGGGAGCTGTCCTGCTCCTGGCCTACCAGACTTTAACTGGGCAGCTGGGATGGACTGGCCAAAGCACTGGGGTGAGGGCACTTGCCCTGACACAAAAGTGTATTTGTGACCAAATGTTTGGGTCAAGCAAGGAAGGACAAAGCATCTCAGTGAACACTGATATGCTTGGCTCCCATCCAAGACAAAGTTAGTGCAAGCAAACAAAACACATAAACATGCAAGGCCTTGAGTGTCAGGCCTACCACTGCAAAAACAAAGAGGGGGGGGGGAAGAGGAAAAGAAGGAAGGAAATGAGGAAGGAAGAGAGAGAGGGAGGGAGGGAAGGAGGGAAAGGAAGGAAGGAAAAAGAGAGAAAGAAAGAAAAGAAAGAAAGGAACGAAGGAAGAAAAGGAAAAAAGGAAGACAGAAGCAAGGAAGCAAGCAAGCAAGCAAGGGAAGGGATGTAGGGAGCTAATATCCTGTCATTCTCCTACATTCTCTGCTCTCTTTTGGAGGTGGGTAGAGGTGTTTTCTTTGCCTTGCCTGGTTTGTTATTTCTTTCTCTGATATTCTCTATTATGCAGTAATAAATCTGGTCCAGTCTTTAGGCATGACTTCCTGGAGACACTTTAATTACTTGAACATATCCACATGAAAGAAATCATTAAAAAGGTGAGATGTGGATATTTCCAAAGAGGCCGTGTGGTTTCTTAGGGTTTAAAGTCCTTGATTTTACTGTTCAAGTTTATTTAATTATTTATTTCAGTCCACATATGGGCTTCTGAGGCCTGGCCTGTCTCTTGAGAGACCCTAAAAGATGAAGAACAACTCAGCCTCCTCTGCTTCATGCCATGATCCTTCCTGGAAGTGCTGTTGCCTTCCAGGGAGGCGGGAAAGGCTCTAGTGGGAAGGATTCTACTGTGTGCTACGGAAAACCAACTTGCCTGTGTTAGTTATGTGGGCAAGGGTGGGGAAAGGCCTCCATGGGGACCCTGAGCTTTCTTGTGAGATGGGACCCATTCATACAGACCACACCATTTCCACAGACAATTGTCAAGGTGGCAATGTAAGAAAGGACACAGACAAGGTCAGAAATGAATTTCTCACCCCAGGCCTGTTGGGGGCCTTCTGGGGAGGTTCTCTGAATGGCACAAAATGCTCAGCTCAACACATGCAGCCTTCCCTCCCCTCCCGCCTCAAATCCCAAGCACTGCTGCTGCTTCAGGGACATGGTCAGAAGAGCCATACCGTGCTGGCCTTGGGGACTTTCATCTTCCACACGCCGCCCTTTGCATTACTCTCGTCTTCCCTGCAGCAAAGACCAATGGTGAAAGTTACGCCCAGTGACTGAGGATTTCTCCATAGGTTTAAAAAAAAAAGTGACCTTAAAAACAAAAACAATCAGGCATTTTCCAATTAACTCTCCCCCAGCCCTTTGACTTGGAAACAGAAGTAGAAGAAAGACAAAAGAACAGGACAGACATGGGGAGGAATGTGGAATTCTGGTGTAATAAAGGCAGGAGAAGCTGGGTGCTGGAGGTTCACGCCTAGCTACCCAGGAGGCTGAGATCTGAGGATGGAGGTTCAAAGCCCACCCAGGCAGGAAAGTCTATAAGACCCTTATCTCCAATTAATCACCAGAAAACCAGAAGTGGAGCTATGGCTCAAAGTTGTAGAGCAGAAAAGCTCAGGGACAGGACCCAGAACCTGAGTTCAACCCCACAATCTACAAAAAAAAAAAAGGAGTAGGGGAGAAGAGGATAGGGAAAGAGAAGGATATGAGTTCTTCTTTACAAGCATGTGATATCTAAGGGATTCTCCAGTGATAGATGAATAAGGCAACTGCTTCACAGGTTAGGAAGATCTTCATAGTCATGACAGATTCATGACACCATCCCACATGAATTCCCCCTCAGGCCACAGGCAAACACATGTTCCCACAGTGGACATTTGCAAGGTGTCTCTGCGTAACGGGGCTTGCCGTCTGCTTAGTGCACCTCAATTTCCACTTGAGAAGCCAGGTGGCTTTTCAAACTCAGACAGGAGTGACTACACATCCGAGCTCTAACGATGGATTTGTTACCCAGCCTTGCCTATGAAAACCCTACCTCTCCTTCGACTCAGAGGTTGATCCATGGCTGGCCTGGGACATCCAGCCTAGAAATTCCCTTAGGGGCTGGAGCGTGCTGCTGACATGGCTAGACTTGCAGAGTTAAGAGTGGAGCTTAGCAAGACCCACAAATGGAAAAGCCTGCCTAAAAACTGAGCAGAGAAGGGAAAGCAAACACAATATAAAGAACCATGTGGGACTTCCCAGTTCCAGAATCTGAGAATTTTTCCAGTTTTTACTCAATCTAGGTTGCTATTACCTGCTATTCAGTAAGCCATGATACACTCTTACTTATTACTGAACTCCAAAGGAATGATGCTATAGCAGGCTATGTCAGTAACTGGGACTCCAGCCTGGGCTAACGAACTTACTGTCTAATAATACATCTGCTACAACACTGGGCCTTTAAAGAAGTGGGCGCCACCCCTTCCTTTAGCCTCTGGTCATGCTCATCAGGCAGACTGTCTACGGGCCAGGTGGGAAGATATCCAGCTGAATGCCCTGATGAAAAGATCTCTTATGAGCATCCCACCGTTTCTGTCCACCTTTGACCTCAAATTACACATCAGACACTTACCAAAGAGGTCGCCTCTCTCCTCTCATTAAATGGTAGCTCCATCTCACAGGCAGGGTGGTCACAAGGGGGATATTATTGTACACACTCCAGAATATCTTTAAGAGAAAAAATACTTTGCTTAATATACCCAGTATTGATTTACTATGCCAGTAGATTATAAAATTAATGCATAAAAGAAAAAAATTGATCTTCCCTAAGTCCTATCCATTCAAAATGCTTTCTGTCAGTACCCCTTCTCATTTTGTTTCACTAGAAAATATAATACAACATTAAAAAAATATTGCTTACTGATGTTGGGGGCCAAGTTGCATCTTCCAGGAAGCTCTCCTGATTAAGCAAGCATTCCTATGCAACTTATCTACATAGAAAACCAGAAAGGTAATGCACAACGCCAGCACTAAAATTAATAAAACTGCATTGTGCTAGGGATTTCTGTGAATATGTAAAGCTCGGCTGCTCAAGTGGAGACAGATGTGTTATCTGCTTTTCTACTGTGACCATTTTACTGTCTATCAGCATCCTATAACATCATGTTGTAAACGTCAGATGCATAGAACATTTAGTTTTAAAATAAGAAATTACCCATTGACATAGAAAAAAAACATTTTTCCTGGTGCTGTAAACACTTAACAAAATATATCTGGTAAACCTTAATCTGTATGGAAATGAGATCTTTTATATTTTTTGAAGATTTGACTGCAAAAAATCAGGAGAGATTACACGCTTTGAAATATAGATTTGGATGTAATTTGCAATGCATAAAGATTCTCGACAGTTATAACTTCATTGTCAGGGGCATTCTGTTGTACATAAAGTGACTGACTTCATCCTAAAACAAACCCTCTCCTCCCCTCGCAAACTGGAAAGGATCATGTTGATGTTTCTGGCAGACTAATGTGCTGGCAGGTATACCAGATGTACTGAACCACAACTCCTTCTAATGGACTCTGAGAGGAAAGAGTCCATGAGGCCTTGGCTTGGGGGCTAAGGGAATAAAGGAAGCACCTCAGGCTCTGTCCTTCTCCTTTATCCTCCTATAACAAGCAGGCGATTGCTTAGTCACTAAAGCCAACAGAGTACCCAAGTAAGGCATATCTGAACTTTATGTCTGTGTCCTGGAAATTCTCCATGTTGGAATGTAAGCCTCAGTGGGATGGTTCTAGGAGCTTGGGGCCTTCAGATCCAGTGGTGGAGCTCCCAGGCCAGCAGGAGTATCTTTATGATAGAAGACAGCCAGCTCCCTCCTCCTCTAGGACAGGGTATAAGAAAGAGGCCTCTGCTGTGTGTACACCAGGAAGAGGATCCTCCCCAGAACCTGGTGCCCTCATCTTGGACTTCCAGCTCTAGAACCCTGAAAAATAGCCAGTATATGACATTCTGTTACAGTAATGTAAACTGAGCAATATGGCGGCTGTCAGCAGAAACAGATGGTGTAGAATTACCAGTGTCATGTGAAGTAATAGCAATAAAAAGGATAGATGACTTTGGAGCTGTTCTGGGTCTAGGAATTTGTATACATTTATACAATTTACTCTAGCGGCAACATTACACGATTATCCTTGTTGCACAGACATGGAAACTGAGGCACAGACAAACTGGTCCAGACATGACTGTTGAGAATGACTCTTAGGATGAGCACAAAGACAGAGACTTCCAGAATCACCACAGCATGTTCTGTGCACAGAATTACACATAAAAGAGAAGCACCATGCTGTGTGGTAAGAATCTTAGGAAGTTTGACTTAAAAACAATAGTATGAGCAGTTAGGAAAATGAATTCTACAGCATCATGAATGGAGTGACAAGGGAGAGGAGGGGTTCTATTTGTGTTCAATGATAATAATCCTGATAGGTTGTTTCCATTTGTTTCATGTAAAAAAAATGACATGAATCTGAATTAATTGCAAAGGTAGTAAGATGAACGGTGAGGCAGGTGAAGGCCAAAGTACACGGTGGTAGGTTTATTTATTACTGGGGAATCTACGATCATCCCCTTCTACTCCAATGAGGCTACTTGGAAATAGCAAAAGTGGCTCTGCAGTTACTACAGGTCCTCCAGCAACTGCTGGTCCATGTGGGGGAACCCAGCACACAAGTGCTTTGCTACTTGTGCAGATACCGAAAGCATTTCAACACTCGGGTTTCTATGTGGGCTGTCAGGATGAATAGCTAGCGCTGGGATTTCAGCCTGGGCCCTATAATTCCAAATTTCCCATTTCATAAACCCTACGCTGTTTCCCTTGATGATCCTATCTATATGTCTTCTGCGTCTCTCATAATCTTAGAAGCCAGGGACAGGTGATATAGTCACAGAAAGGAGGATACCTGTTGTCTATGTTTTCCTACAGTCATGTCTGGAACTCCATCAAATCTAATGACTATCTGTCTTAACTGGAGCCTGACAAGTGTGCACCTAAAGACTTACAGATAGAATGAGTCTAAAAGGGAAAACCAAGAAGACTCTGGGCACCCCATACCAAAGCTCCTGCCTGTACATTCCAGCCAACGTTCTTGAGTCCTGACCTTTTACCTAGTACTTGAAATACTTAGGAAGACACAACAAAGAGCTTCTCTCATTCTCAAGGTAAGAAATTCTCTAAAGATCCTGCTAAGGATTGTAGCCTTGGGGGGGGGAGGGAGAGAGAGAGAGGGGAGAGAGAGAGAGAGAGAGGAGAGAGAGAGAGAGAGGAGAGAGACAGACAGACAGACAGACAGACAGACAGACAGACACACACACACACACACACACACACACACACACGAGACAACGGATTCTGTTTATCCTGACAAACCTGGCAGGAAGTAATCACAGCCAGCAAAATACCAAAATACCCCAAGATACTGATCTCTGACCAAACATGTTTATTAAAGCACATATTCACACCCTTTGTACATGAAGACAAAATGAGAGCAAACATCCAGAAGCACCACTGGGAAGGGGCTCTGGTTCTTTTTCACAAATTTCACCTAATATTACAACAGTGGTTGGGTGCCTTTGGAGCCCCTTCTGTTAGTGATGCTCAAGTGCTTTCTTCGAAAGCACACAATGACCAGGTGAGGTATCGAAGCATCGTTTGGGGAGTGTGTGTAACAAGGCCTTGGGGAACTGGGCAGAATGTGGGGACAACCAGCAGCCACAGAGGGCTACACACAGGTAAGTTCCTGGCATCATTCTGGCTCCTTCTAACACACAGACTTAATGACTCTGGTTCTCAGGTTATCCTGAACAAGACACACAGATCTTGAAGCCTAAACTTCCCCCGTGTAAAAGGAGCTACTGCATCAGCTGATTTCAAGACTGAATTCAGTGAAAGCACTCGGGAGGCCTCAGTAAGGAAGCCGGGGATGGTCAGACACACTGATAGCTGAACTATCTCCCACCTACTCGTTCTAAGTGGAACAATTATGCTCCACCTGCCAATGTCCTGCTAAATGGATAACCATTCATTGCCAGGAAATCTGGTGGGGTTTTCTCCTTTATTTCCCACTGGAATGTTCTGAAGGCAATAAAGAAGATTCTGAAAAATTCTTGCAAAGAAAAGACAACAATGTTGACAGAAGACACAGTGATAGGCCAGGAAATGATTAATGTGTCATAATCTCCAAAGGTGACGGGGATACCTGAACTTGAAAAATGAGAAGGCAGCCTTGAGGTTGCAGGCAATGCTATATTTCAGTTAGAATGGCAGCTATGTGTGCATTTAGTTCGTTTAGTTTATTTCTTAGGTGTTTATTCCTTAGGTATAGCACAACTGTATTTTATGCATTTTTCTGTATATGTCTTTTATTTCATGGTAAGAGATTCAAGAAAAAAGTAGGAAATGTGAATTGTCTCATACATATAGCTAAAGAAAATCAGAATCAATAGTTCTCTCTATAATAATAATTTAAAAAACAGCCAATGTACCCCAAAAACAAAATAACCCAGATTTCAGATTTCCTTCCAGAAGTTGGTGCATGTACAGAGTAGATGTTTTGGAGATACTCAACAGATACTTTGCTCATTAGTATTTCTAGTGGGTAGGGGCTTCCCACCCACAGAATCAATGGTGTTTGTGGTGGGCAGATAAGAGATCAGAACAGACAACTGAAGAGCTTAATGGATGTTCTTAACTTACAGCAGACACAGAGGCTGAAAGCAAAGGGCTTCTGATTTGCAAGAGCTCTGTACCCCAGAAATGGCTTTGCTTTGAACTCCAAAAGAGCTTAACCTACTCTGAATTGAGGAGTTAAAAGCCTGGAGCAGAGAGTGGGGTCCATGTCTTGCGAGGGCAGGGAGGGCCCCTCCCCTAGAGAAGTCTGGGGGAACCTAGAGCAGAGCAGCCATGCCTGCTTCCTGGGTCTGGTGCACTTGGCCATGACACGGAAGAGTCATGAGGTTTGAGTGACAGGTGGCAGGTCAGAGAAAAGCTAGAGAAGGGGTTTACCTTGTCCCAGGGGCTCCACCACCTTAGAAAGCTCCCCCCCCACTCTCTCTCAGCCCCCCCCACCATGGGTGTGGCAAAGGCAGCTAATGTTTAAAAAAAATCCTCTCTGGAGCAGGAAATTGCTACAAAGCCCATGGAGAAAAGGGCTTGGGGTCTGGATGTGGGTCCATATTATACAGGCCTCCATGACCTGAGCCACAACATAATACCAAAGGCCAGGTAGGATCTCAGGCGCATTTCTGCAGGTGGTGATGGGGCAGCAGGCGAGCAATGGTTGCCTCAAGAGACTTAACTTGGAAGCTATCAAGCCTTACGTCTGAAGTGACTAAATTACTATTAAATTGTAAGATGAAGTCTGACTCACCCTCCCCGACCTCAACAATACGCAATGACCTCCAGTGCCCTGAGTAAACATGGAAGGAACAAGGGCAACCTGACTCCTTTCTGCTTATGAATAACTGGGCTGTGACTATGGACAGACGTCAGTCCCATTGCATGTACAATGAATAAATTAAATGACGAACAAAGCTTCCTGTTACCCTTGCTATTAACGTTGCACCGACAGAAGTATGAGACAGATCTGGCTTCAGGTCCTTCCCCCCATCTGTATGTCCCCCCCCCACTCTCTGTTTCTGCCCCCCCCCCCGCTTCCCTCACCAGAGTGGTTCTTTTCCTTCCATTACAGGATGCTAGAAACCACAGGCTTCCCTGCTGGGTTTCCACCCATTCTCTCCATCATCCTCCATCATTGACACTGACTGACAAAACTGCTTTCTGGCTGTAGCTACTCAGAAGACTAAGATCTGAGGTTCAGGGTTCAAAGCTAGTCCTGGTAGGAAAGTCTGTGAGATTCTTATCTCCGACTATCAAAAGTTAGAAGTGGCTGGGCACCATGGGCACCATGTAGCTCACACCTGTAATCCTAGCTACTCAAGAAGCTGAGATCAGAGGATAGCAGTTCAAAGCCAGCCCAGGCAGAAATGTCTGTGAGACTCTCATCTCCAATAAACTACCCAGAAAAAGCCAGAAGGAGCATTGTGGCTCATGTGGTAGAATGCTAGCCTTGAGCACAAAGAGCCTCAGGAACGATGCCCAGGCCCTGAGTTCAAGCCCAGGACAAGCAAAAAAAAGATAGAAGTGGAGCTGTGGCACAAGTGGGAAAGCACCAGCCTTGAGTGAACAAGTTAAAGGACAATGTACAGGCCCTCAGTTCAAGCCCCAGTACTGGCGTGCACGCATGCACACACGTGCACACACACACAAAATAGAAAAAAAGAGGGAAAGGGAAGGGGAAAAAGAAAAGGAGGGGAGGGAAGGGAAGGGAAAGGAGTGGAAGGGCTTATTGCAAAAGGAGCAGTCTTCATTTGCCAAGAGTTTGGGGCACAGGCTATCCTAACTTAACGACCTACAACAGCGCGACACCACTATCAGATGGCCTGGCATTTGGGCAGGGGAGCGGGCGTGATGCCATGGTGCCACATGGCATGACTGAATTTTCTTAATTGAGTATGTTATATCAACTGTGTGTGAAGACTTCTGGTAATGAGAAGTGCTGCTAAGATTCCATTTACAGAAAAAGTACACGCTCTGTTCTATGCGAATTAATATAAAAATTCAATTTAAGGGGGAAACAAAGGGCAGAGCATGTACCAGGGGGACAAGTGTGGGAAACTGTAGAAGGTGAAGGCATAAACTCCTGTGGGCTGGACCGAAGGCTGGGTGAAGCTTTAGTCTAGGGACAGGCAAATCTGAAAGGCACTGGGGACCAAAGAGCCTCCTTGCGCATCCAGGCCCGCAGGTAGCTCTTCGTTCCCAGGGAAGACTGGGCCAGTTCAGAAGCCCGGTTCTATTCTGCTCTGTGCCAGTGAGCATGCACACACTAGAGAGATGCTCAACATTTCTACATGTCCAAAAGAGTAAAAGGGATCAATAGATGTCTGGGAAATACACCTAAATGAAACATGGAATTTTCCAAGAATGATGGGAATACCGCGGATATTTAACTCCAGGCAGAGAGGGAGTTATTTCTGGCTGTAATGACAGTGTCCTCAGCCGAGGTTCCGCACTCTGTAGACAGGGAGGTGAAAGACAGAACTGAACTAGAAGTGGCAGGAAGGGCTCCAGCCCCGAAGCCGTAGCACAACTGGCTGCTTTCAGTGCCAGCCTGGTTCTCTTACCTTCCAGCCTCAGTTTCCCCAGTTAATAAGCAAGAGAACACCGTGGATTTGTGGAAGGGCCTCAAGGGTATAAAAACAAAGACCCATTACACGAAGCAGTCACTGAGGGCAAGATTCTTACACATCACCTAGAACACACAGGTCTGAACACAGACCTGAGCAGGGAGGTGAGGCGATTTCTTACAGGTGGTCCAGGGATGCCCAGAGCATCACCACACTATCACAGCATAAAGACAGGCAAAAGCATGTCCCTAGTGACTTTTAAGTTCAGCACTACAGCTGGTTCTTAAGTACAATGGACTATACTGAGATGTCACAGACCCTCACAAGTTGAACCCCTCAAAGTTATGGTAAGTTACCTACCTGTCTTCATGTGGTGAGGCGTTAGCAGTGGTACAACACAGGGCATCACTGCTTGACATGAGTAGTCTAGAGGCATGGTGTCCTTACACCAAACATGATCAAGGAAAGAGGGAAAGGATGCTCCTTCAGAAGAGAAATGACCAGGGAGGAGCATGACTTTATTCCTAGACATTTAGGATGCGCTTCTTAATCATGGGATCATTTTATTCTCATAGTTACATGAGAAAATGCCTGCCGTGACTATTCCCATTTTATGGATAAGTAGACTGAGATATGGAAAAGTGTGGTAATGTGTCCTAGCTAGTAAAAGCTAACTATGGGATTTGAACACAGGCAATGGGATCACATAGGTCCTAGGCCATACTCTAGCTGTTCACACCAACGGCAGATCTGAGTAGCATATTAGTAAGACCTGGTGATGCGGGGGGGGGGGGGGGGCAGGCCTTACAAGTACCAGGCTCACTTCACGCTCACTCAGTCTAGAAGGTAGGCACTCTGATGATCTGTTTTACAGTCAAGGAAGGCAAGCTGAGATGAACAGGGACACCAGACAGAGGAGAGGAACTACCTGAGCACTTACAGCTGCTTCTGCACCTGAGCAAAGGTCTCATGGGAAGAGTGTGCAAAGACACTCTGAGGTGAAAGAAAGTTACTTATATTTGAGAACTCTACATGGACTGTTATATACCCAATGGAGTATTTCCTTGGTAGTGCTGAGATTTGAACTTGGACTTGCTAAATAAGTGCTCACCGCTGAATCATGCCTTCACCTCCCCACCCCAGTTTTTTGCACTTGTTATTTTTGAGATTGGATCTTGTTTCCTGCCCTGATGTACCTCTGGAATGTAATCCTCCTAATTTCCATTCCTCAATATACTTGGGACAGGAATATACCAACATGCCTACCATCTTTCCACTGAAATGGAGTCAGACCCACTTCTGCCCTGACCGGCCTGGAATAATGTTCCTCTTGTTCTCAGCCTCCCATATAGCTGATATGACAGGTGCATGTCACCCCACCCAGATGTTAGTTGAGAAGGGGAACTTTTCTCCCAGGCTGACCTTGAACTTTGATCCTCCCAATCTCAGCCTCCCAAGTAGGTAGGATTACAGACATGAGCTCTAATGAAGTAGCTGTTTAAAATGTATTTTCTAGAATGTACCAGCAAGAGGCCTTTAAATTTGCCCCTAAAGTTCCTAGCATGATAGCAGATTCAACTCCCAACCAGATGTTCTGTGTTGCTATGCATGGTCAGGAAAATGGGTCCAGTTCTCATCATTGGGCTTCATCAGGTATGCCCGCAATCCCATTCCCTGTCTGACAGGATTATGGGAGGTCTGGCAAGTCCCTGATGAGCCCAACAGCAGCCCAGAGATTCCTCATGACCACAGGCCTGAAAACCAAGTTCTTTGAGGTTCATCAATTGGCTACCTAACGTAGCAGCCACCCACGGAGTCAGTGGAGGGGAACAGGAAGAGACCGTGCCCACACTTGGAGGGCATCTCCATCTCCAGAAGCACAGCTCAGGCCCTGCTCTGCGACCCTGTCTCGGCCCTGGATGGTGATGCACAGACACACCACGGCTTTGCTCTCCGGATGTTTATATTGCTTTCCCAGATAGATGAGAAAACAGGCTGTGGGTGGGATCCACCCATCTTTACACCAGCTCACCAGCCTCGGCGGTCATGCATGACACCTTACAAATGAGTCCTGGGGTTGTGTAACCACAAATGTGCATTTGTCAGACTAGACGCTGACACCGGGTTCTGAATAAAGGATCTTTGTGGTTATTTTGCATGAAAGAGGGATGCAATCTAGATACCAACCAACTGGAAATTCTAAGATTTAAAGCTGTGAAAAGATTAGGGGGCACGGCAGGAAAACTATAAATTCATTCCTATCATTCCTAGATACTAAGGAGATGTAGGTAGAATGGTCATAGTACTAGGCCAGCACGCACGCACGCACGCACGAACACGCACACGCGTGCACGCGCGCGCACACACACACACACACACACACACAACACTACCTAGGAAATAACCTTAGGTAAAAAGGGCTGGGTGTAATTCAAGGGGTAGCAAACTTACCTAGCAAGGGCAAGACCCTAAGTGCAAACCTCAGTACCATCCTCAAAAACAAAAACCAATAACTAGAGCCTTAAAAAGTTTGCCTGCAGAAGCAGAGAGAGAGAAAGAGAGAAGGAAGAGAGCCAAGAACGGCCTTGTTGAGGAGCGGCAGAGCAGCATGAGTTCTGCCAAGCACCCTGTGAGCATGCCCTGTGAGCATGCCCTTGCTTACCCCCTGCAATGCCCTGTGAGCATGCCCTTGCTTACCCCCTGCAGTGCCCTGAGAAGGTAGGGACCATGTTTATACCACACGCACAGAAATGCACAGGGTGGTCTGAGATCCTAATATAAGGTGGTGGAAGGGGCCGGTATAGTGCTTTCAGGCTTACCACCACCCCCTATCTGTGACTCTGTCCTGCCCTGCACAGAGGGAGGGGTAACAGAGCTGGAGTTTCAATAAGGGTGGGAGGGGACACAGATTCAGATGTGTTCAACACCCTCACTCTGCTTTCTTACAGCAGCCTGAATGGTTCACTCATGAAGTTTCAACAAAGGAAACGTGAAGAGCAGGTCCCCTGAGCCTGTGCCCAGCCAGCCAGGGGTAGAGTAGGGCAAAGGAGGCTGCACCGAAGTAGAGCCAAGAAGCAACTTCTAGAATAGAGCCTTCAGACAGGGGCTGCCCACACAGGGCAGATCCCAAGTGGGACATCTTCCAGACATCCAGCACAAGCTGTGCTAGCCCAGCCCCACCCTACCATCTTACCTGCACTGTTTGCACTTGGTAGATTCTCTTCAGGTTGGAGGCACACTCTGCAGCCGTGGCACCAGGGAAAGATCTAAGCACACATTGGCCGAAGAACAAAGAAGCAAACAGAACCAGTCAGTGTCTGTGAAGTGCTCTATTATGAAGTTCAGCAAGGCTTCTGAAAAGTCTGGACATTTGCAGGATGCATGTTAGATCTAAAGCATGAAATCCTCCTGTCTTTGTGAAACATTCGTTTCTCCTAAATAAGCAGCATGTTTATGATAAGGGAAGCTTAATGTGGAAAGGTAAAGCATATAAGCAAAGCACTGGAAACTTTAAAACCACATTTTAAAACAATAACTTAGTTTAAAAAAAAAGCTAGCCCATTGCCTAGCCTTTTAGGTAAAATGGCCTGTTGTACCAATGGAAAATACAGTGCATTTGTTCTGAAAACTTGTTATAGGTCCTGCTAGTAAATATCCACATCTCTGGATACAAGAAACAGGATGAGGGCTGGGAAGGTGGCTCAGTAGTAGAGCACTTGCCTTGCATGCATGAGGCCCTGGGTTCAATTCCTCAGCACCACATAAGCAAAAAGTAAAAAGCCAGAAGTGCGCTGTGGCTCAAGTGGTAGAGCGCTAGCCTTGAGCTGAAGAGCTGAGGGACAGCGCCCAGGACCAGAGTTCAGGCCCCACGACCGGACCCAAAAAAAAAAAAAGAAAGGAAGAAACAGGGTGACTGTGTGCCACACTTACCTATAGGCATGGCTCAAGTGGTAGAGCACCTGCCAAACAAGCCCAAGGCCATGACTTTAAACCCCCATAACTGCCAAAAGAAAAAACACAACACAAGAAAATATAGCTAAAAGCCAACTGACATTTGACCTGAATGTGCACGTTTCTCAAACTTTGGAAAACAGTTTCTGGTCTTTTCTCTGGCTGATTCAATGAGCAACCATTCTGTACAAGCAGAATGCACTCATCTCTAGTTTGCTATATGTTCCACTAGATGGCAACAAAGCACAGGTTTATTCACCAGAAAACCTATGCTCTACCAAGCAGTTTCTTGGGACCAGTTTGTCCTTAGAGACTGAGATTCTCTGTCCCCAGTCAATTTCTTTCTTCTTCTACTGACTGTGTGCTCAAGAGTGATGGGATTCTGTTAACATCAGGCCCAAAATGATGTTTTACTATACAAACACTGCTCAAAAGCCCACGTCTGTTCGTTAATGAGGAGAAAGTTTCCTGCTCTCAGCTTGTCCACCAGTCCACTATTCTTGGATCTGAGATCTTACCAGCCCTGAATCCCTAGCGAAGTAGTCCACAGACCCCTTCAACATGTAGCACTTTCTGGACAGTGAAGCCACAAGTAGCTTAGAGATGTGTGGAAAATTCACATGAAGGAAGAGATGGAGGTGTTGGCAAAAGTTCTGCCTGTGTGAAGATGGACCAACAAACACTCAAAAATAAAAACATCAAACTTGGTACCAGTGGCTCATACCTGTAATCCTAGCTACTCAGGAGGCTGATCTGAGGATCATGGTTCAAAGCCAACCCCGGGCAGCAAAGCCCATGAGACCTTTTATCTTATCTTTGAGCTGTGGCTCAAAGTGGTAGAGCACTAACCTTGAGCAAAAGAGCACAGGAACAGCACCCAGGCCCTGAGTTCAAGCCCCATGACCGACAGCATAAGCAAACAAACACATCAACAAGACATTTTAGAATACAACTCCTTTCTCTGGAGGTCACTAAGGAAGCAACATTATGAACTAGTGAGGAGACAGGTGTCAGGTGAATTCTAATAAGTAAGTCTACCTTAAAGTATAAGTTTACTACTCTTGCTTAGTTGTTGATAAGTTTCACAAACCTTTATTGGGGTTTGAACTCAAGAGTCTCACAATTGTTTCACCCATACCACCAGCCCTTTTTGCTTTGGCTAATTTTGAGATAGGGTCTCACTTTTTGCCCCAACGAACCTGGACCATGACCCTCCTATTTTATGTTTCTTCTATAGCTGGTATGCCTAGCATCTTCTGTTGGGACGGGGTCTTGTGAACTTTTTGCCCACACTGTCTTGGAAACTTCATCTTCCCAATCACAGCCTCCCAAGTAGCTAGGATTACAGGCATCAGCCACTGTGCTTGACTTGAGGGGCTTTATTTTTTTTTAATTGCAGGAACCACTACAATTGTAGTGACCATACTGGACAGTGGTAAGGAACATGTGGCATGCTAACACCAGATAAAGATGCCAGGTGGGGACTGGGAAGGTGGCTCAGTGGTAGAGTGCTTGCCTTGCAAGCATGAGGCCCTGGGTTCGATTCCTTAGCACCACATAAGCAAAAAGAAGAAAAGCCGGAAGTGGCACTGTGGCTCAAGTGGTAGAGCGCTAGCCTTGAGCTGAAGAGCTGAGGGACAGTGCCCAGAGTTCAGGCCCCATGATCGGACCCCCCGCAAAAAAAGATGCCAGGTGTTGGTGTCTAACGGCCCTCAGCCTTGGTAGAAAGACTTGGCTTGTGGCTACCAGGTATCAACTTGGACAAATGATATTTTGTGATTTATCGCAGCATTGTCTGTTTTCAAAATTAGGGAGAAAAAATACTTGCCAGTGTAGGCAGAAAAAGTCCATGAGAGTCTTCTGTCCAATTATCTACCAAAAAGGTGGAAGCGGGGGTGTGGCTCAACTGGTACAACACCAGCCTTAAGAGAGAAAGCTCGGAGATAGTGCTCAGGTCCTGAGTTCAAACCCCAGTACGGATACAAAAACAAACAAACAAAAAGAGCAAAAGAAAGATCCCCAACCTTTTCCCAAATAGATTATTATGTGAAAAGTCTACTGCTTTTACATGAAAACCTACTGGCATTTATCCCAACGCTAATTTTTCTTCCCTTGAAACCTCTTGCTGACTGCTGTACCACAAGCCTTCCTAGATTTTGAGCTGGGCAGAGGGCACCAGGGCTCCTTTCTGAGCTGTGATCAAGGGAGAGCCCAAGGGGAGGAAAGAGGTTTGTAATTTTTTTCCCATTATTAAAATTATTCACTTCAAAATTGTTTTACCAATTCTTAAAGTCACCCTTCAATTTTAGATAGTTGAGAATTGTGGGGTGCTCACCTCAGAGAACGTTATGACAATTTACGTACATACATGCGGCACAACCATGTAACATGGCCTTTGACTTGCGTTCCAGGGCAGGAGACGATTATGCACAACTGACACTTAGGTTCCCAGTTTCATTGTTCAAGCTGTTGAAGACACTGAGTATACTGAGCCCATGTGGCCTAGCGCAGGAAAGAGCTAGGCGGGAACCTTTAAGATCACAGAATCCAGGCCCTTCCATGAAGATATGGGGAAACTGTACTTCCGTGGAAACTGACACACTTCCTTTTCAACCTCTACCCATCCATATCTTAAGATGTGAATCAGGAGAGTAGTGTTCAGAATGATCTTAAATTTTTGTAATGACCTTTCTGTCCCCAAGGGTAAAGACTGTTTTAATACTACTCTAAGAAAATTATTATTTAGGGCTGGGAATGTGGCTCAGTGGTAGAGTGCTTGCCCACCATGCATGAGGCCCTGGGTTCAAGTCCTCCGTACCACATAAACAGAAAAAGCCAGAAGTGGTGCTGTGGCTCAAGTGGTAGAGCGCTAGCCTTGAGCAAAAGAAGCTCAGCAACAGTTCCCAGGCCCTGAGTTCAAGCCCCAGGACTGGCAAAACAAAAAAGAAAAGAGAATTATTATTTAATAGTCCTCTAAGAAAATCATAGATACAATCCTATACTAGAAATGGGATTCAGGAAAGAATGGCAACTTTGATAGAACCATACTAACAGTCCACCATAATACACCATTAAAAAATGAAACTGTGGGAGCTGGCAGCTGCTGGCTCACACACACAACTCTACTTGGGAGGCTGACAGCGTTGGGATTGTGACGCAAGGCCAGCCTGGCCTGAAAAGTTTTTGAGACTCCTTCTCAGGAAGAGCTGCATAAGGTGGGGGTACCTGTTATACAAGCTACTGAGACGCTTAACACAGGTGGATCAGCCAGTTAAGAAGTTTGGGGCCCTATGTCAAAAATAAGGAGCATAAATCAACCAGGACTGAGGAACGGCTCTAGTAAGAACACCTTTCTACCAAGTAGGAGGTCAGGAGTTCAAATCCTGATACCACCAAAAGAAAAGAAAAAAGAAAACAAACGGAAGTGTGGTTGGTGTTAGCGTAGCTCAGTGATGGAGCAGTAGCTGGCTATGCAAGGCCCTGGTTTGATCCAGGTTGCAAAAGAACAGAACGATTCTGTCAGTTCTATGTTGGGTCGGCTGGCCAGTAGAACAGTGTTCAGTGCACCAAATCTGATTCCAATGTCACTGAAAAACAGCAGTGTACCCAATCCTCATGCTGGAACCTTCAAGTTCTTCAACCATTTGTTTGGTCAAAATTGGGCCATTTCAAAACAAGAAATGAGCTGAGGTTTTTCTGCCCTGTAAACAGGTCAGTCTGCGCTAGACTTGCTGACTCAAAGCTGAACCGGAGGCCCCTCACCTTCTGGTTGTGCTATGTAAAGGGACTGTTCATGGCAGGAAACATCCCTGTGGCCAGCAGCCATACCCTGTTTTGCTGACCTTGACAGACAATTGTAGTCCTTGTAGCAACCGGAAGGCAAAGGTTTGTAATAGATCTTTGTAATAGAAACATTCTTAACAGTATTAATCACATATATAGTAGATTCTTATAACACTAACACACACACACACACACACACACATATACACACACACATCCTTTTAGTTCATTCACGTTTCAACAGAAGCTATGCAGGGTTGATAGTGCCTCCAGAGTTAGCACTGCCCTGAGGCAGTGCTCCTGGCCTCTGGTGGTCAGAAGCCAGGGATACTGGTGAAATCCATCCCATAGTCACCACACACAGTGTCTCCCCCCAACACACACACACACACACATACACACATACACACACACACACACACAAAATCAGCCCCAAATGTTCACAGTACCATGGCCAGGAAACCTGGTATAGACACTGGATAGTCTCAGTGGTTCTTAACAGTCAAGCAACCAAGATTTTGTTGCACCCCTCTCCAGTCTCCTGAGAATACAGTGATGATCATTCTTACAAAGCCCTTATCTCCTGGAGTTTAGGTTCTAGGATTTTCACCCACGCTCTCCAAATTCCCCAGACTCCCAAAGGCTATCAAACTATGTTCAGAGCTTTTCAAACTTTCCCAGGACACAGGAGATGCGGGGGGGGGGGGGAAGCTCAAAGCAGAATACACATCTGAAAATGCCAGGGCCACAGCTATGAGAGATGCCAGAATGCAGCAATCAGGACCTACTTGTGTTCCTGCTCTCCCAACTCCATGCTACCTCCTCCCACAGTAAGAGCTACACAGCAAGAGAAGGGGTAAGTGCCCCCACCATGACCTACCCCACCACGGATCAGTTAAAGAATCTGAACTTCCTCCCCAGAATTCTCCCCTCCATTAGACAATAGTAACGTAACAGTAGCTTACTTTTATTGAGCAAGTATTAGCTCTAATTCTTTTTTTTGGGGGGGGGGGGTTCAGTTGTGGGGCCTGAACGCTGGGCCTGGGCGCTGTCCCTCAGCTCTTCAGCTCAAGGCTAGCGCTCTACCACTTGAGCCACAGGGCCACTTCCGGCTTTTTTCTTTTTGCTTATGTAGTGCTGAGGAATTGAACCCAGGGCCTCAGGCATGCAAGGCAAGTGCTCTACCACTGAGCCACCTTCCCAGCCCCTAGCTCTAATTCTTGTAGCAATACTGCCAGAGTGGTCTCATTCCTTTACTTCAAAACTTGGGACACTGAAGTTCCGCAAGGTTGTTTTTAAGTAGCGGTTCTAGGTTCTTCTTCACCTGTCTGGCTTGGATGCCCATGGCCTACCTTCCACTTTGGACAAAGTTGCCACCCCATAAAAACTGAGCCATCACTGTCAGCACAGTGGCCACATACAGCGGTGTCTTGCAGTAAATCCTTCTCCCTTCCCTTTTAGAATCCCCACTTCCTCCCTGGGTTCACCTACTGCCATATTCCTTCCCACAATGGACCAAGCCACATTGTCAGAAGGGGCAAAGAAATGAAGAGGACTGGATACAACCAGAATCACTTGCAATAGTGACTCTGCAAAAGTGATACAAATAGCAAAATTCCAGAAGAACACACCTCTGTGTCACTGCTTTGGGGCAGCTGGACATGGAGGGCAGACTATGACACAAACAAAGGCGACAGGTGGACGATGGCAAGAAGGCAGGAAAGCACAGGGATGAAGAAGACGGCCCCTGGAATCAGTACATCTCAGTTCAAGTCCCAGCTCTGCTATTTGACAAGACTGACCCTCAGCATCACCTTCTGGACCTTCCCCTACAGAAACATTTCCAGCCCATGGCTTTGCTACTTAGGCTACATGAACCCACACTCCAGAAAGCATTTACACAGAGCACCTAAACCAAACATATCCCACAAGCAACTCTTGCTGGGATCACTGTTATTGCTGTGATGGACAGATAGACTTGGTACAAAGGAGAAAGTTGTTAGCACTAAGAGATACCAGTACGTTTTCTAACCCAAGGGACAGAGAGGAAAATATTTTCACACAAATATCTCACAGCCTTCTACTCAGGTCTTCAAGTCTATAGCCATTGGAAAGGCTGTTTTCCCCTCAGACCTGGCTCAGTACAGGCAAAGTACAGGCAAAAAGGGGGAAGGGACTCTGGTCTGCCAAGTAAATAGCTAATGCAAAGATGTCAAGGAGATTCTTATCTTACTTAAGGCTAAATTCCCAACTCACTCCTGTCTCTCCAATCTAACAGGATAATAAGAAATGAATCTAAAGATTCTCTAGGTGAAAGTGGTGGGAATTCCTTTTCATTTGGAGAGTCAGGAGAAGGAAGAAAAATCCAATAAGGTTGAAGCAATGAGTCCTACTTAAATGCTTTCCAGGCACCTGAGCACTATTTGCATGTAGAAATTTAATTCGCTATTTACAAATCATGTTTATCTACTCATTATGGCAGGTCCCTGAGAATCTTCCCAGGATTCTCTTTTAGCTTAAATGAAATCGGAAATGCTTGAAAGCATTTTATCCTCTTTCCTATGTCAGAAATACTGAGTGCCAATAAATGAACAGACGGACCCTATCATATGTGCATACATCTTCACTCTGAGTTTGCAGATGAGAACACCAAATAGAAGGTGGTAACTTGCCCAAGAACACACAGCTGGCTGGAGGTAGAGTTGGTACTTAAACCACAGGTTGTGTGATAACCTGGCCCTCAGGGCTGAACTTAAACCAAGCAATTCCTACACAACCAACACTGTGCATGGCACCACAAACTCATGTAGTCCCAACTCTCCTGTACCTTGCAATCTTCCATTCAGAATTTCCCAGTGGGCACTTTCCATTGATTCCCCACATTTAAAGATTTGGTAGCTGTGGTCTCAGCTCATTAAGAAAGTACTCAGGGACAGAGGCCTTCCTAAGCACCTGAGGAAATCAACTCAATGGCAACTAGCTCTTGGCAGGCCATGGTACCATTTACCAGCCATGTGGACACCTGGTGGCCCATCTGACAAAGCAAAGATGCTAGAAATGTCTCCTTCTCCCCTACCTGAATTCCTGCCACACTTAAGTGTGATCATTCAATGGGAAGCATCACTTGGGATCTTGTTAAAGATACAGTCTCCAGGCCCCAGACACACCAAATCCCCTGGAATTCCTGTAGACATTAAAGTGTGAGATGCACTGGCCTGTGTCATCTGAATCAAGTCACCATGAGATATGCAAACAGCTCAGAAAACTAGGGAGTGACAGCATCATAAGAAACATGTAAACCCCACTATTCCCCCAGAAGCATTTGCCATCAGTCAAAGGCATTCCCAACCCGGCACCATCATTACATGTGCACAGCAATCTTGCAAAGGGCCTGAAACACAGGCTGGTAAGCACAGCTGTCTTCTCTGCAGAAGCAATGGCTTCATTATGCTTCATGCATGAAAATGGACCTTGGTTTCTCCACATGTGAAATTTAGTAAAAGGCTCAGATTACCTCTAAGTCCTGACCAGCTGCCACATTAAATTATAAGACAAGAAAGAATCACGCCCCAGTCATCATTCAGTCTCAGAGAAGAAGGACTGCATGGGTCACTGTCCTCAATTCAAATCCTTTTTCTACTTAAACTGCAGTGTAAAATCAAGCAAGGTACATCTCTGGGTCTTGATTGTAAAAAGGTTTCTGACAAATCCTACATGTGCAGGAACATTCCGTGCCTCAGTCCATACAGATCTGAATACAGTGCTTAACATACAGGAAGGAGTAAGATGGACTTGACATGAACATATTAAATGGAGAAAGGACAACTTAAGACTTTACCTAATACGTGCCAAGTATCTAACAAATGGACATACATGCCAATAACAGATGCACACAATAATATTTTGTGAAAATATGAATGATGGCAATATTTAACCTAATACTTTGTACGATGATTTCGATTCAGCTAAGTTCAACCTAAAGCCTGCCTCCCACAAGCCAGCCTTCCTGAGCAATTTATATCAGCATCAGGCTCAGCTGTCAGAGGGAAATTCTGCCCAGCCCCCGTGACATGATTAAGTGTGCCAAGCGACCATCATTCACTCCATTAAAGATGATTTCATTTTAATCACTTTTACATAGATCTGTGGCTTGCGGCTACACTGGCTTCTTGTCAGAGGAGTCTCACACACACACACACACACACACACACAAATGGTCTGAACCTACTACTGACAGTTAATAATGCATCTGTTGAAACTATCCACGTAATTGAAGCGTTTTAGCTCCAGGTGTCCACTTGATTTTGATTTCTCTCTCCTCCCATCTATTGTCACTACTGGTGTATCCCACAGCCCTTTGCCAGTACCAATGGGCTCATCATCCTGACTTACAAGTAACCCTTCCTCCTGGGTGGGAGGAGAGTAACTGTGTTAAAGTTTACAAACACCACATCAGAGTACTGAAATCTTGCCCACAGCCTTCAGTTTGGGAACTAGTAATACTAAAAAGCTGGAAAACATGTTTTGAGTGGCTAAATATTTCCTAAGTGAGGAATATTCAAGGGTCTGGAACAAAACACTCTGTAAGAAGCAACCACTGGCCCACAGCTGGAGAGGCTGAGTCCCCTAGGGAAGGGCCTTTTCCTGCCATTGTAGATTTACCCAGAGCTTCTTTACACAAAGGAAAATCCTGGGCCATTTAGAGATTCACTGGGATTCAAAGGGAAAGAATGAGGGGAAAGAGGAAGAGCGTTGATGCCGACAGTCCTCTCCTCACGACTTCCTCCCAACCTCATCGTGGAGGCCACTCTACACACAAGGACGATCCAGTCATCTCTGTCAGGCCTGGCTGCACCTCCCAGTACCAACTTTGTTATGACCCATCACACCACCAGAATGCATGGGAGAAGACTGAATCCTGCAATGTGGCAACCTATCTCTCTCTGAACTCTTCACGGATACCACCGAAGCCCACAGCATGTAAGACGACCCTGAATTGGGAGGGAGGCCAACAATGCAGTGGCTCTTGTATTCCCAACCCACAATGGGGACTGTTTACAACATGCGCATGACAACATGGAGGGCAGAGGCTCAAGACTGGACACATAGGCAACTGTGATAAATCCATCTTCCATCCCCATTGATCTGACTGATCAGGGATGGGAGCCTGAGCTTTCAACAGTGCCTGGTGATTCTGATGTAGTAAGTGAATGCACTTTCAGACAAACATGGGGAGCTAAACCCAGTGTAGGAGGAGGGTTAGTGGCAGATGTAAATGAGGCTCACTTCTGCAATCAAACACTCAGTCCCTACTGTGTGCTTAGTGCAAGCCAGTGTGTACCAGACTCCGGTGTAGGAATCGGCAGTAACAGAGACCAGATCCTAATCCACATGAGAATTGTATTCTAGTGAGAAGACCAGAACATTATGATACTGTGGAACACATACCAAAAATAAATAAATAAAATAAAAAATCTAGAGAACTTGTGCTTGCATGTCAGGATGCATGAATCATTCTACATCAGTGGTTAAGAAAAGTCTTGCCTGGAAGATGGCCCATGAATAAAGACTCAAGGACAGGAGAGTGAGGAGAGACTGCACAGATGATGACATGTTGAGTTTTCCAGGAAGACGAGGCTCACCCATGCATGTACTCCCTGGGGAGTCACAGACATGATGTTAGAGCTCACAATCAAGAATGAGGGACAGAGGAAGAAGCCACTGTCCATAAAACAGACACTGGCCTGTAACAAGATGCTATGAATATAGAGGGAGAAGCAGAGGCTACAGAGGACTAACACACTAGTGAGCATG